CGCCCTGGCGCAGGCCGCCGCCAGCAGCGTACACCCCGCGGGCGTCCGGCCGAAATCCCTGAGAGACGAGGCCACGCTGTCCCCGTGGCCGTCACGTGGGCCGAGAGGCCTGGAGGGGCGCCCCCCGCGGCCGCTGCCACAGAGCGGGGTTCCCAGCTTGGCTCTCATGTCTTTCCGGGGGTGCGGAAGGCGAGGCACCCCGCGCCCACACGGGGCCCTTTACTGGACTTCTTGAAGACAGCGGGCGCCGGACAGGCGGGCACCATGCTGCGCTCGGCTCAGTGCTCCTTGAAGCTGCAAGAGGGGTGCGCGGGCCGCAGGTCACACGTCCAGCAGGGGTGGCCAGCAGGCTCTCCCCTCCCTAGGGATGCCTAAGGCCAACCCCCAGAGGGAGCAAGCGGGGAGCGGGGAGCAGCCGGGAGGGGGGAGCAGCCGGGAGGGGGGTGCAGCCGCCCGAGGGGTGAGCAGCCGGGAGGGGGGGTAGCCGGGAGGGGGGAGCAGCAGCCCGAGGGGGGAGCAGCTGGGAGGGGGGAGCAGCCGGGAGGGGGGAGCAGCTGCCCGAGGGGGGAGCAGCTGGGAGGGGGGAGCAGCCGGGAGGGGGGAGCAGTGCATAATGGGGTCACGGCAGCACGCATTGGACAGCTGTGGCTTCTGGAGGACAAAGCAGGCCAGCCCCTCTACATGTCCACCGCTGGCCACAGCATGCTGCAGCCACAGCTCCCCAGAGGAGGCGTGCCCTGGGGGGCTGCTGGGGCGCTGGGGGGCTGGGGGGTGGGGGGACTCACGGTGCCTGCTCCAGCGACGCCAGCTGGGGGCAGCGCAGCTCCCTGTGGATGAGGCGGACCAGGAGCTGCGCCCAGAGAGAGGCCCGTGAGCGCAGCCCCGCCAGCCGCCGGTCAGCTCCTGCGTGGACGCTGGTGCCCGTGCCCTGGCGTGACCGGCGTGCAGTGACCGCACGCCTGCCTGCCTCTGTCCTCCCGCCGAGGGGAGGCCTGCGGGGCGACTCTGGCTCCGTCCTGCCCGGGGCTGGC